AGAGAGCCCCGCCCAGCCCCCATCGCTCCTGAAGGTATAACCCGCCCTTCTCGACCAGCGCGACGTCGGGCCCGAAAACGAGCCCAGCACCTCGCCCAGGCCGGCCTCGCACAGGGAGATCAGCAGGGCGAGTCCGCCGAGCTCCGAGCGCTCCAGAGCGAATTGCTCACCTGCTCGAACGTGCTGTACACATCTCCTTTCTTGAAATTCAGCTCCTTCTCCGCGTGCCACTGGCGGGCCTCCAGCGGCTGCGCGACAGGGTGCCCGTTGTCATTGTCCTCCGCGCTCTCCAGGGGCTCCGCGAGCAGGTCACCCAGGCGCGAACCATCGATCATACCTTTTGAAGACCTCCTCGATTCCCTGCTCACCTTGTGACTCGTCAGGGACACCAGCCAGGCCGCCCGGGCGCGAGCCTGCGATGCCGCAAATGAGAGGCTCACCACCATCTTCGCAGATACTCTCATCCTTGACGTCGGAGGAGTCCGACCGCCAGCTTCGCGGCTGCCCCCGACCCCCTCCTTCCCCATCTGCTTCTTGGCCTTCTCCTTGCGACGGCTTTCGGCCTTGACGCCGTCAGCGCCAGCTCCGTCGCCGACGAAGAGCTGCTCAAGGCAGCTGCGATCCAGCGAAGAATGCATGGGCTTCGGCCCATGCTCCTTCCGCCAAAGACCGAGGCCAAGATCTTCCTGTTTGGGTGTTGGGCCTCCCAGAGGCGCCGCGCCAGCTACCGCGTGGCCTTGACCCCACTAGCCCGACCACTGTCTCCTTCGCTTTCTGGAACTTCCGCTTCGAGCCCACTGTCGTCCACTTCTGGCGATCTCGCTTGGCCTTCTCCCGCTTTTCCTTGCCAGGATTGCGGCCTGTGCTCTTCTTGGCCGCCGCTTCTGTGGCGGGCGCCGCCCTTGCCGTCGACGTGCTAGTCCCCCGGAGGGGCGTTGTGCTCGCTGCCGCCGCCGCCGATCGGAGAGACTCGCACTTGGTCTGCTCCCAGACGCCGAACTCGTTCTGGACCCAGCCCGCCTGGAGCCACTCCGCGAAGTAACTCGCCTTGGCCTTCGGTGGACGCTGAGGGCTGAGCACCTGACGAGTGTCCCTGACGCGCACTTTCACGCTCGAGATGCTCACCTCTTCTCCCGCGATGCACATCTGCACAATCGGGTTATTCTTGGCTGGAGGTCCATAGCCCAGACCGATCCGCGCCAGGCTCAGCTTCCCATCAACGGGCATCATCGCCGCTGCTTTGGACACTGCCACGGTCACCTATGACGATGCCAAAAATGCCGAGAGCCCAGCCATAATTAGCCCAATCTCTCCAAGAAGTCGCGCGACAGCAGTGCCGCCGGACCCGTTGGCCATGGCCTCCTCGTCCACGAAGACCTGGATGAAGCGCGCCCCTCCCGCGTGCCACTGGCGGGCCTCCAGCGGCTGCGCGACAGGGTGCCCGTTGTCATTGTCCTCCGCGCTCTCCAGGGGCTCCGCGAGCAGGTCACCCAGGCGCGAACCATCGATCATACCTTTTGAAGACCTCCTCGATTCCCTGCTCACCTTGTGACTCGTCAGGGCCACCAGCCAGGCCGCCCGGGCGCGGGCCTGCGATGCCGCAAATGCGAGGCTCACCGCCATCTTCGCAGATGCTCTCATCCTTGACGTCGGAGGAGTCCGACCGCCAGCTTCGCAGCTGCCCCCGACCCCCTCCTTCTCCATCTGCTTCCTGGCCTTCTCCTTGCGACGGCTTTCGGCCTTGACGCCGTCAGCGCCAGCTCCGTCGCCGATGAAGAGCTGCTCAAGGCAGCTGCGATCCAGCGAAGAATGCATGGGGTTCGGCCCATGCTCCTTCCGCCCAAGACCGAGGCCAAGATCTTCCTGTTTGGGTGTTGGGCCTCCCAGAGGCGCCGCGCCAGCTACCGTGTGGCCTTGACCCCACTAGCCCGACCACTGTCTCCTTCGCTTTCTGGAACTTCCGCTTCGAGCCCACTGTCGTCCACTTCTGGCGATCTCGCTTGGCCTTCTCCCGCTTTTTCTTGCCAGAATTGCGGCCTGTGCTCTTCTTGGCCGCCGATTCTGTGGCGGGCGCCGCCCTTGCCGTCAACGTGCTAGCCCCCCGGAGGGGCGTTGTGCTCGCTGCCGTCGCCGCCGATCGGAGAGACTCGCGCTTGGTCTGCTCCCAGACGCCGAACTCGTTCTGGACCCAGCCCGCCTGGAGCCACTCCGCGAAGTAACTCGCCTTGGCCTTCGGTGGACGCTGAGGGCTGAGCACCTGACGAGTGTCCCTGACGCGCACTTTCACGCTCGAGATGCTCACCTCTTCTCCCGCGATGCACATCTGCACAATCGGGTTGTTCTTGGCTGGAGGTCCATAGCCCAGACCGATCCGCGCCAGGCTCAGCTTCCCATCAACGGGCATCATCGCCGCTGCTTTGGACACTGCCATGGTCACCTATGACGATGCCAAAAATGCCGAGAGCCCAGCCATAATTAGCCCAATCTCTCCAAGAAGTCGCGCGACAGCAATGCCGCCGGACCCGTTGGCCATGGCCTCCTCGTCCACGAAGACCTGGATGAAACGCGCCCCTCCCGCGTGCCACTGGCGGGCCCCGCCGCCTCCAGCCCTTCTCCCGATCTGCGGAGGGAGGATGGGGGAGCCTGCGCGAAGCACTTCTGGAGCCTCCGGGGGCCTCTTGGGAGCCTGGGCGGGGGCCTGAGAAGGAGCATCTTTGGGGCCATTTTGGAGGCCGGCTGGTGATCTTGTGGGCCTTTCGGGGGCTCTCTTGGGACGGCTTGGGCCCCAAGACTCTTAGCGTCAAGTCGAGCGTGTCCCCCTACAGGGGGATTTGGACCAAAAACCAAACAGACTGAAACCATACTCCAAAACAGTCAGGCAACATATGCAACAAAACATCGTCCCCCGAATATCTGTTTACTGTTTGGGGATGTCCCTCCCGTAGAGGGAGATCCCAAAATAGGAAACGTTGGGACTTCCCTTTGGGATATCCCACAGGGATATCCCAAAGTTTGGGCACTAACAATAATGTAATATTTGTTTGCTACTTTGGAATATCCCTCCTGTCGAGGGACGGGCTCGGCTGAACCTCGGCGCCGTCTGGGGGCGTCTCGGGCCCCGTTGGGGCCCCCTCGCGGGCGTTCGTGGGCGCCCGTCGGGCCGCCGCGCGGCCCGCTCGGGGCCGCGCGGGCCGCCCTGGAGCGGTCTTTGGGGGGGCCGTCGTCGGTGGTCCTGGATATGGCTTTCAAACAGGAAAAAACGAATTCGCTAGAACTTTGGGCTTGTGAGCGTTTTTGTTTACTCGGCGTTTCGACCTTGGGCCGTCCTGGAGCGGTCTTTGGGGGACCGTCGTCGGTCGTCTTGGATATCGTTTTCAAACAGGAAAAACAAATTAGCCAGAACTTTGGGTTTGCGGCCCGCTCTGGACCGCGCGGGCGTCCTGGAGCTGCCTTGGGTGGCCGACTTCGGTCGTCTTGGGTATGGTCCACGACGAACCAACAACACACACCCATACCCATAGAGGAGTCGGAGAGAGCTATGGGTGCGTGTTGTCGGATGGGGGTCCCCGCTCGAACGGGAGCGTTCCACAGGGTCCGACAGCCCGCACCCATACCCATAGCCAGTCCTCCTCCCAACGACCCCCCTATGGGTATGGGTGTGTGTTGCTCGTTCGTCAGTTCGAACAGAAAAAAACGAATTAGCTAGAACTTTGGGTTTGTGAGCGTTTCTTTTACTCGGCGTTTCGACCTTGGGCAGAAAAGGGGGGGGGAGGCGCGGGGTCTGGCTCCGGACCTCTGCCTGGTGCGCCTGTTCGCAGGAGTGCGTCGTATGAGTGGGCTCCACCTGCTCGAGACAGGCGCCAAAACAGCCAAGATCTACTCCATGGGGAGGGGGGAGGGGGGGGTGCGAGGGCCCGCGCCGATCGGCCAAACAAGGCATGAAATAACGGTCACTCTCCCGCAAGGGATGTGACGATGTGTACGTCTTGGGGCCATCGTGGGGGGTCCTTTTGGAGACCCCCTGGGGCCTCTTGGGGGCCCCTGGGGCCGCTCTGAAGCCACGCTGGGCTGCCTGGAGCTGTCTGGGATCCACCTGGGGCCGCCCGAAGCCTCATTCGCCCGTCTTGGACTCCACCGGAACGCATCTGGAGGCTCCGGGGGGCTCTGGGGCACCTCCGGGGAGGCCCCAGAGGAGGCCCAAGGTGAGACGGTGGGCTTAGAAAACACCGGGGGCCCCTGGTGGTCTTCGGCTCAAGGGCCCGCCCAGGCCAGGTCCCCAGTAAGTTGAATGTGCATATACATATATATATATATATGTATATACATATGTATACATATATATATATATATACATATATATATGTATACATATATATATATATATATACATGTGTGTGTATACATACATATATATGTATATACATATCCATTCGTTTTTAGTACACGCTATAGGTATATATGTACGTACATGTATGTGCATGTGTATGTGTGTGTAGTATACATATGTATGTCTGTACAAACATGCATACACACATGCATATGTTTCTGAGGGCCCCGGCGTGCTTAGCCGCGCTTGCTTGCTTGCCTGCTGCTTCTCGGCCCTCTACACCCTGTCGCTGCGCGCGGGGCCGCGACGCGAAAAAAAGGCGTGTGTGTATATATTCATGCATTGGCTTTGCCTGGCCTTCTTCGGGGGTCGGGGGAATGAATGGGGAGGGGAGGCGAAAGCCGGCAGTAATTGACGGAAGGCGAATTTCAACATTTAAGTTCAGAGTTGGTGGGCTTGAGTCGCCGGCTGAAAATCAGGACTCTCTCCAGAGGAGTTCGGGTATTCTGAGATCCCAACATATAATTCACATCCATGGGGTAGTGTCTGTGGTTCGGACATGTTTGCGTCGCGCGCGTCAAGCAGCAGATGGCTACAGTGATTTCCATGCACAGCTTTCTTCATATATCTTATACTTACTGCGGAAGAGCAGGTGGTGGCCGATGATGCCGATTGAAAGATTTTCGAAACTGCGCCCTGATTCCAACGTCATGATGCTTGGAGACTGCCATAATTTTGTCTCACTTCCATTAAAGAAGTCGACGGGGCGTCACTGCTTACCGAGTTTGGCGACTGGTGCAATCGCGAATACAGGCAACGTGAACGAAGAGCTACGAAGGATGCAGTCAGAAGCGACAGCAAGCTTGATAATGCTGTTGCAATGAACGTGGTGCGAAAGCACCCTTCGCCTAGGCACACATCTGTGCCTTGCACGTGCGCTTCTGCATCGTACACAAGAGGTGCCAGCAGAGAGCCGAACAATACCGAACCAAACAAGCATGCGGCAAATATGCAGCTATATTTCACGGCAATCTGCGAGGGGCCGAACAGCTCTCCCACAACGACTGCCGTCAATGCAAATATCGAACCAACCCCGAAACCCATGCACGCAGATGCAGGCGCCAAGAAGTCTTTGCCCAAAAGGACAAAGAGACAACTCAAGCAACTTGCGATGGAACTCACGCATACCCACCACGGCCTGTAAACTGTTTCTTTCATAACTTCGGATCCAAAGCCCACCAACACCCGGCCGAATGCACTGAAAACTGAAAACAAGGTGACGTACACTGCACTGTCGGCAGATACGTCTTGATTAAGCGATGTCGTAAGTTGTGCAAGGTTGTTCGAGAACATGATCTGAGCACCAACCAAGAGTACGCATGTGACGAACAATACCCAGAAGTCCAACGTCTTCAGCATACTTGACACCAGCATGTCGACACCACTGAAAGTATGAGGTGCCCGAACAGATCCTGCAGATGCCTCATCGGCATCATCTGTTCCGACAGGTGTCATTGGCAGTGTTATGAGAAAAAGGCTGCACAGGCACAAGGCAGCCGTGGCCAGGGTCACATAGTTGTAGTACTTGAAATAACCGATGATGCCAGAAAATACGATGTAACATAGTAGTGCGACGGTCAAACATGAGAACTTCTTCTCAATAACTATGTCTGATTCTAGGGCAGGCTGGTTCGTCTTGTACATAACTGGCACAAGGAGAACTCCGAATGAAAGCCCCGTGCTTGCAAGAAACATCGGGTAATACTCGAGGTGGTCCTTGTCGCTGAACGTGTAGAATATTGTGTTCATCACTGCTGCGGTAATCCCTTCCATTGCTTTCATCAGTCCGCATGCAGTGCCCTTGTGGCGAGGAAAATTCGTAATAGCTGTAGAAATGCCACTATTGTCACAAGCTGACATCCCATGCCCCCAGATCCAAAACAACATAAGCATAAGTGTGTATGGGAAATCGCCGGTGACTGCTGCCGCCCCGATGCAACTGCAGCTGACTGCTATTGCGAGGCAGCCCAGAGCCATGGTCACATGCGGTCCGAAGCGAGCGTTTATCCAGCCGACATCCATGCAGAGAAAGCTGCCAACATCTTTGGCCAGTGCTAAGCCCTCCAGCTCGCTCTGCGAATACTGGTAAGCATGCTTCACCGCTGGGCTCCACGCGCCGAATGTGTACAGAAATCCGGTCAGGAAGCAGGAGAACGAGCCGGCGCAAAAACACCACCAAGCAGCATTCTTACTCATGACGATGGCGTCGGGAGCACATTGCAGTTACAAATTGTGCGGCGGAATATGGATTGGACCAGACTTGCTAGAGAGCCCAAACTAAATTTCAGTGCGTGGCCCAGAGGCCTCCAAGACGGCCCGGGAGGGCTGAGCGGAGGGCTCGAAGAGGCCCTCCAGGAGTGCCCGAGGAGGCAGACACCATTGAATGTACCGAGGTTCTTGACGGATTTCGAGGTCCTCGGGGGGGAAGCGTTACTAATTCAAAACCCGTCCCGCTACGCTGTTGCACAGGCGCGGCGGAGGGGTTTGCGGCAGGCAGCAGGATAAAGCAATGCCGTGGTGGCTATGCCCCCTGAAGAGGGGCTATAAACGGTGGGCCTGAACCACTTCTTTCCCGCATATATCCCCTACTGGTGTCACATTGAGCCCATCATCAAGTATTACCTGTATGCAGGATGTAGGCGACCCGTGGACTTGAAAAGACGCCATTTCCACCCCAACTCGGAAATCCCCCACAAGTGGTGTCTGTCGGGCACGAGCACACAGCTTGGAAGTCACTCATTTCACGTGGTTGTGATGCTGTGCTACGCGGCTTTGCACCGACCGCAGACAATGCCACACCAAGGTGAAGGAGCTAGGTTGCCGATCAGCAGGGCATGGAAAGAGCTTGGACACAGCGCACCAACATGAGGATCGAACACTGCCCACACCACCACCACTACGACGGCCGCGACCTCCGCGACCACCGCCTCGACGACTACTACGACTACTACTCCCACGACATCCGCCCCCGCCCCCACCCCTCCTCTTGTCTGCCCAGTCTGCCTGGCCGACCCCGCTTGCTGTCTTATCCTCTTCCTCGAGCACCATCGCCACCACCACCATCATCATCAGCACCACCATCAGCATCTTTATCAGCAGCACCATCACCATCATCAGCATCATCAGCAGCATTGTGATCCCCATTTGTATGTCCCTAGTCATCCTCTATCCCCACGCATAGTTATCATAGGCCTCATCATAACACTCAAGCTGAAGTGTTCTTGTCTTCTGCAACCTGCTCCGCCGCCACAGCCTCCACTCGGCGCCCAGTACACCCTGAAAACATGCTGGGAATAGGCCTGCCAGAAGTTGGAGGTTGGGCTCGTGCCTGCACGGCAGGCTCGTGCGGGCAGCGTGCGCTGCCGAGTCGCAAGGCCCCAGCAGGAGGGGGTCTGGAGCAGAGACAATAATATGGTGCCAAGGCACCCGGTACACCCTCTGAATGTGTATATATATATATATATGTGTGTGTATACACACATGTGTGTGTATATATATATATATATATTAGAACCATCGCGCGCGCTCCGCGCGCGCTCAAGCTCGACAGGCGAACGAATGTAATCTCAATTGTTGGAGTGCCTTGTGCATCTAACGACCTTCTTGGGGTCCCTGCGCAAGCCTCGAAAGCGCATAGAAGGGGAACTGCGGACACCACAAAATCATCAATGTTCTTTGGTGTTCTATGATTTGGGGCCCTCGAAGGCTTCCTGGGATCTTTCTTCGGTGGGGACGGGGACCTCAGTTATGGTCAGTTGTGCAAAAATCAGCAGGAGGCAGGAGGTAAGTTTGAAACAAGGGAATTCGAATTCCCTTTATTCAAATTGACATGCCTGGGCCGCGGGTCAGAAGTTTCCTGGATACAGGCCGTGGACTGCTGGGACGCCTCTTGGGGCCTTTGGGCGGCGTGTTGGGAGTCTTCCGGAGCCTCTTGGGAAGCCCTTGGTGCCTCCTGGGAGCCTCCCAGGAGTCTCTGAAGGTATCTGGGGGCGCCTAGAGAGCCTTTGCGAGAACCCTGGGGCCATCTTGGGGCAAAGCGCTCGAAAGGCTTGGGCAGGTCCTCTCTTTTGTCTCTTTCTTGGCGCGCGCGCGCTGACGTTCTAGCTAGGCTGGACAGGTGAAGTCATGGGATCTCGATTTTTTTCGGTGGTTTCAGGGGGAGCCAAGAGGACACGAAGACGACCCAATAGAATGCCAAGACAGTGTCGGACAGTTCACCAGCATTCCCGAACAGTCTATGCAATATGATCCCGAAGTCTTGATGGGGCTCGGGATGAACTTGAACATATCGAAAATCACTGGATATTATTTTTCAAATGGAGTCTACTAACACATGTAGTGCGCAGGAATCGGGGGGAAGCCCCAGAGGCGTAAAGGGGACTCTTGGGAGGCAGTTTGGAGGCCGCTGGGGCGCTGTTTTGGGGCCTCTTGGGGCCATTTTTGGGCGTTTTCGGGGCTCTTGGGGGCCTCTTCAAGCCCTTTGGGGGACTCTTGGGGTCTCCCGGGGGCCCCTTGGAGCGGAAAGCCGGGAGGGTCGATTTGCGGTCCCCCCCCCTTGTCGGGCGGCTTCTCGGGCCATCTTGGGGCTCTCTTGGGCTGCCTCGGGGCGCTCTTGGGCCGTCGTGGGTAAAACAAGGCTAGGATCGGGATAAATCGCTCCAGAGCGTTCCGGAGCGCTCTCAGAGCGTTCCGGAACGCTCTGGAGCGGCTGCGGCGCCCAATACATCCTCCAAACCCGCCGATTCTCAGAGATTTCGAAATATCCCGATCCGATTTTGTCCCGATCTTCGCGTCGTTTTAGTGGGGCCTTCTCGGCTTGTCTTGGAGCCATCCTGGGGCCTCTCGGGGCGGTCTTAGGGGCGGTCTCCGGGGGCCCTCCTCGGCCGTCTCGGGGCGCTGGGAGCTCGAAGACGCGAGCAGGCTGGACGCCGCAAACAGAACACGAACGACAATCCACGATTGTTGGCCTCGTCAGGCGCTCCCAGAGCGCCTCTCGGAGCTCTCTTGGGGCCTCCTGGCCTTCCTTCTCCTTCCTCCCTCCCTCCCGCGGCCCATGTTCCAGGCCGACTGCAGATGCCGCCAGTGACTCAAGGGGCCCCAGGACGCACAAATAAATACACACAGATGAAAGGATTCCCCATAGTTTCCCATATGTTTTGGGTTTTTGTCTTCCCCCCACTTCCCATATGTTTGCATATTTTCCTGGGAGTCGACGATTAATTGTGTCTGTGTATTTCTTTCCCTCCTGACATCGAGCCTCCCCCGCTGTCATCACACCCCTCTTGGACGCCCCCGATCCTCCGGCCTCTCCTTCCTCCTCCCCCCTGGCCCCCTCTTCCAGGCCGACTGCACATGTTCATTGTTCTCTGTGCTGCTGTCGTCGTCGTCGTCGTCGTCGTCGTCGTCGTCGTCGTCGTCGTCGTTTCTGGCGCTCTCGCGCCGTCCGCCGCCCGCTCGCTTTTGTGCGTTGGGGCCGCCTGGTGCTCGGGGCTATAGGCCTCCCGCGACCCCCCCCCCTTGCTCTCGGGGTGAAAGCCTCCGACAAGACGGCGCGCAGGCTGCTGCAGTACCGAGCCCGACCGACCGCCCCCTCTCCCCTCCCCCCCTCGAGGATCCAAGCTCGGGGATCGGAGGGGTGGATGCTCCTGTGTCTGGGATCCCGGATCCAGGATTCCCTCCTTGTGTTAGCCCACTGTGTGTTGACCCCGTTCGGCTCCACCATCCTCCCTCATGTGGGAGGCTGCGGTTTTTACACCAGGCAGACAAACAAGTGGCACGCGTGCCCTGGCTACAGGGGGGGGGTGTAAGGGTGAGAGTTACGACTATGTGGCGTGGGGTGTTTCTCATCATCCTCATCATCAGGACCATCAGCATCGTCACCAGCACCATCATCCTAATCCTCCTCATGTTCATTATCGTCTTCGTCCCTCTCCTCCTCCTCATCGCTCTTCGACTCCGCGCAATCATAACAGCAAGACATACGTACAATCAGACACACTAAGAATTCCATACAAGCAAAACGCTGAGAAAACGGCACAAGCAAACAACAAAAGAAACCCATACAACCATTAACACTCCGAACTCCATACCATCAGAAACAAACAGACATGCATATCATCAAACCAATAATAAATCCATACGATCAAAAAACCGTGAGAAATCCATACGATCAAAAACACTGAGAAATCCATACAAACAAAAAAATATGAAAACGTCTTGAGTCCATGAACCCTGTGAGGGTTCCAAAACAACAAACACATACAACAGAAAACACAACAACTTGTGACTGTCCCCGCACCCAACATCAATGGGTTTCGGGACTTCGGAGTTCCTCTTGGCCCCTCCAGGCCAGATCCGCCCAGGCAGCCTTGTTCTCATCACTCAGCATCATTTTCTTTGGACACCCCACGCAGGAGCTCCTCAGGCCTGAATATGGAGGAAGTATCAGGCGGGAGCCTCGTCTGTGGGTGAATTGTGAGGAAGTCCCAGGCGGGAGCCCCCTCCCTACGGGGCCTGCACCTCGCATTCTTAATCCGAGCGGGTCGTCCTCATCCGTTACATTTTAATCATTTTTGGGCTCCTGCAGCTTGAATATGGGGGAAATATCCGGCGGGAACCTCGTCTCTGAATGAACTGCGAAAACGTCTCAGGTGGGAGCCCCCTCCTTATGGGGCCCGCAGACCATGTCTTTGAGGATGTCTCAGGCGGGAGCCTCCTCCCTATGGGGCCCGCACCTCACGTCTTGAAACCGAGCGGGTCATCCTCCTCCGCGTAACTGCTGTCATTGTTGGGCTTCAGACGCCTGGACATGGGGCTGGCATCAGGCGGCAGCCTCGTCTGTGAATGAACTGTGAAGAAGTCTCCGGCGGGAGCCCCCCCCTCTATGGGGCCCGCACTTCATGTTTTTAATCCGAGCGGGTCGTCCTCATTCGTGTAACAGTCGTCACTTTTGGGCTTCAGACGCCTGAGTATGGAGGGAATATCAGGCGGAAGCCTCGTCTGTGAGTGAACTGTGGAGAAGTCTCAGGCGGGAGCCCCGTCCCTGTGGGACCCGCACTTCATGTTCTTAATCCGAACGGGTCATCCTCATCCGTTTAACTGTCGTCACCTTTGGGCTTCAGACGCCTGAATGTGGAGGAAGTATGAGGCGGGAACCTCGTCTGTGGGTGAACTGCGAGGACGTCTCAGGCGGGGGGGCCCTCCCTATGGGGCGTGCATTTTATATGTTTAATCCAAGCGGGTCATCCTCATCCGTGTAGGTGTCGCCACTTTGGGGCTCCCGAGGCGTGAATATGGAGGAAGTATCGGGCGGGGAGCCTCGTCTGTGAGTAAGTTGTGAGGAAGTCTCAGGCGGGAGCCCCCT